TATCTGTAATAAATGATAATAGTTGACTGCAAATTATCTATAGACATAGTCAAATAGAAATTGTTAATTAATATATCTTATATAATATCTAATTGCTTTTATTAACTATTTTCAAGATAACTGGTCAGAACTTCTATCATTAATAGATTTTACAGCGGCTGCTCTATCTTATAAGTCAACTGCAGTATCCCTCTTCTTTGCTGAGTAAGGATAAGAGCCTGGAATATTATTTGACTGGACCGGCGCCACTGCACCAAAGAAGCTCTCAGTCAGTTACTGAGAAGCACAGGACCTTGCCCATTAAATAGAGAAGATTTGGGAATAAAGAAGTATATAGTAGTCCTAAGAATTATAAAAATAACATGTAGATTAGTACTGATATAAAGTAAACTTTGCTATAGAAGATATAGTAATAGTATTAAAACAGGACTGATACCAATAGAATTAATATAGATAACCTAGTTATAAACTTACTAATCAGTGGGTAGGACTATTTAAAATCATCAAAAATATAGATCATTCTATTAAGATTAAATAATCTCCAGGTATTAAGGTATATCTAATATTTGCTATAAAAAACTATAACACACTATATTAATAGATCCCTTGCCTGGCCAGACTGCTAATTCTGAACCACCAATTAAAATCAACGAGGATCTTGAGTATGAAGTAGAGGTCATTCTGTCACATAATTATATAGAAAAAAGCTGTACTACCGCGTTAAATAGATAGAACATAATAATATCCAAAATAGTATCCTGTCTCTAACCTGAAAAATGCTCTTAAAAAGTTATGCACCTACCATAACCAATACCCTGATTATTATAGTCTGCCTAAACATCTAGATACATGGCTTGAAGCTGCCTGAAACAACTGATTTAAACTGGATTATCCTGATAATAATTATATAGCCTAATGAAGGTTCTTAGCACTGTTAGCTGGGAATAGTCAATATCTTGAAGAGAAGATAATATCAGGATCTAGACTAAACTCTATCTAAGGCACTATATTTATTCTATTTACTGATTACTCTAATCCTATAATATAAAATCCTATAATTCTTATATAATTATATTTTTTCTTTCTTTTTCTTTTTCTTCATTATATTTAATGTTTTGTTAGATCACTATATTAGATATTAATATAAATAGAATTATTATATTATATATATCTTGTCGCGATATTATATAAAGGGTTTTATAAGATATACTAGAATATTCTTTTTAGTTTAAAAGATAATTAGTAGAGAATAGATTTCTTAACTTAGCTAATAGAGACTATATATAGTGTATTCTACTAGATACTGAGAAGATAAAGTAGTGTAGCTTTTATACTTCTTTAGATAAGATATATTAAGATGCCTGTTTCAGGAGAAGATTATAAGCAGGCTGATAAATTAAGATAAGCATATATTTATAAAGTGCTAAAAAAAAGTTATAAAGTCTTATAATCTTTTAAAAAGATTAGCTACTCTATATAATATCTTATATTTTAAGTGCTGATAATAACTGACAGAAAATAAATAAGTTAGCAGAACTTAGCTAATATTCTCTAATTCAGTAAATAGATTATCTAACTTATCTATTATACAAGATATATTTAGATATTTGAAAAACTCTTACTCTAAGTAAATCCCTTATATAGAAGAGTTTTCTCCTGTATATATTATTTAGTATTCAGTAATATACCAAATCTAAGGCCTTGTCTTCTAGCTCTTATATTATATTATTGGGAATCTTATCTTTGACAGCTAAGTATAATAACTCTGAAGAGCTTACTATATCTTATTCTTTTTCTTAAGCTCTTCTTTAAATCTGTACTGTTTCCTTATACAGTAAAAAACATAAATATTGCCCTGCTCTACCTGGCCACAAGAGATTTTATTACAGTTATATAGAGAATTCTTTTTTCTGATACTCTCTTAATCATTAAATACCATACAAGAGCATTCTTTATATATATAGAACAGTCTATTTATATTGCTCTTGCTGTTATTCTGGGTTAGACAGCGAGTTATTCTAAACGCGCAGCACAATAGTATATGTAAGAAGAGACAAGGAATTGCTCTCTATATTATTAGGTTACCTTACTATAAGAGTAAGGCCAATTAGTCTTTTATAATAAAGTTAGATATGGCTTCATATGAGTATAGCTATTGTATACCTATACCAATGCCTGTAAACAGTTATAAATCTGTCTTCTCGAGTTAAAATAGATACAAGCCTCTGGTCTGGCATTAGCTACAGTGGGAAATCAAGAAGGTTACTATAATAAAGGAAGAGTAGAGATTTATATATACTTATAGCTCTATCTGCCTGTTCCTCTAAGCAGCAGAAGAAGAAGAGAAGGGAGTTATATTAAAGCTAGTACACTCTCTTATTCCATTACTTGTATATTATACTCAATTTATATAGGATGCCATTTGGAGACTAAGTAGGCTCTCTGTTACTTAGCATGTAATACTGAGGCAGTATATATTCATTGGGGGTGACTAGCTGGAAACTGATAAAGAAATTAATATTGCCGTGCACTACAGAATCTTCTATATAACTGTGTATCAGATCATGTATAAGCCGGATTCTCAGTTCTCAGTTATATTATTAGCCGGGCTTGGTTCCTTGATATACATGCCTTGATTTCTTCAATAGGGGATTGGCTAACTATCTCTATACCCAGCCAGCCAATTAGCACAGTACTCAGCAAAGACTGGATTCCCTGAGATTATACAGTATTATTTGTCTTGTATTATTGTAGCTATCAGCAGGGATTTAAATTCTTTAGGTATTTTCTTATTCTGTGCTTAAGTCTTCAGTAGGAGATATTCCTAATATATAAAATACTTATCTATTTTACCTGACTATTATATTTTCTTTTATTACTATTATCCCTGTCTCTATCTTATTCTATTTCTTTGTTATTTCATATTTGCCTGGTACACCATCCTCTAGTTTTTTTTTTACCTTACTATTTGAGATAAGTTATTTGCAGTCTTTAACCAGGTTACCTACCTACACCAACAATGAGCCTGTGGCCTTTTAGCAGAATCAGCCAAATGGGCGCGTACCTGACGTTAAAGAATCCAAGATATCTTTTTAACTTCTACAAGATGCTGAACTTAATTCATGAGTAATACCTGCTATTACTAACTAGAAGCTCACACGGGACCTTAGTGGCCTAAGTCTACCAGAGACTGGGCAATATATAATAAAGAACCCTCTCAGTTGCTGCTATAAAAATATAAAAAATAGGGGCAGTTAGAGATCCACTGTGAATATCCTGCTTAGAAAAGGTATCAAGGTAAAGGAATATAGTTATCAAGAATAATAAGACTTGTACAAAAGACAGGGAGACAGCTAAAAAGAGAGGCCAAGATTAATTTTATAGATAGGGCAAAATTATCTTTTCAGATACTTATAATTCTATTACATATAGAATAGCCTTTATAATATACTAGGATTATACAATTCCTATCTATCCGCTGTATTATTACCTATAATATTCAGCTGAAAATGCTTCTCCCTGCCAGGTAAAATATCTGATAGCATCCTGTGCTAGAAATAAGACTGCATGCAGAGGGACTGTTAGCAGCTAATACTGATTATCAGTAGTAGTAGTAGCGATATCAGTTTGGTACAAGAATATCAGGCCCATCACAGCTGGACCTGGACTTTTATTCTAGATATTCTGGGAGACAATTCATTTGCTTTAGATCAGCCTCCTGTTATATATAATAAATTTATTAATAGAATGGATATAACTCCAATCTTTTATCTGATTAAGCTGAACATCACTTATAACTACTGTTAACTTTCCAATAATAATTCTCCAATTAATTTATGGGAAAATGAACAATATCTGCCAGCTGAGAATAATATTATTTATTAATAATTTAATCTGAATGAGCACTCCGGTACTGATAATACTACTCTCATTTCTAAGGTTAATAGCTAGCCAGTAATTAATTTGCTTGGTTTAAGTCAGGATCCTGCCATATTTAATATATCTGAGTTAGGGAATATAACTGCTCCGGCTGACTTGTCTTGATTCTACAATACTGAATACCTGGTTAATTCTTAGACAGATAAATAATTTCCTTTAACTGAAACCATTATCATGTACCTATAAATTAGGGATACCAACTCCGGCCCTGATAATATCACCCTCCCTTCTGAGAGCAGTAGATAGTCAGTAATCAAACCAGCCACTGCCATTTATCGCGCGCTAACTGCACTTAACAGGAACAGGAAGCCAAGAACCATACCTAAAGAGTTAAATATCTCATATGCTTTATCTTATTGGCCGCAGCGTGGTGGTAGTATTAGGGAAGCTTTGCAAATATTGTTACCTGCACAAACTTGACCAGCTACACGGACAAGTCATTCCCCACCAGGGAAAAAATATCCATGTGGATCCTGTGATAAGAAGTATAAGCGGAGTAGTGACCTGAATAAATACTGAAGGCTCGAGCATGGGACACCTCTAAAGGAACCTGGCTAATCTCTGAAAAGAACCTAACCAATGGCTTGCCCCGAACAGTCGTTCCTCCTTAGGGCATTCCGGAGATGGTCAAGTAGATAGATATTGTGTAATAAGCTCAGCATCTTTATATCCCATACTATACATCGAGTTTGCGACCTTATGGAGAAGCCATTTGTGCAAAGATATATATTTTTAGCCTTGGAGAATAACCTAGTCGAGAGGTGATGTTCCTAGATTAGCGGAAACGGTATCCTGTAGTAACGAGCATTTCTATCGGACCTGTATGAGAAATAGGCCAAGAAGCAGAGTTTTGGGAGCTCTATACAGTGGGGATGTTATACCGAAATATTACAGAAGGAAACAGCTCGACAATAGCATGGAGAATACTAACCTTATCTACGTGGTGCTTCGCTCTATGGACTATCCGTGTATATCCAACAGCAGGCCGAGTGAGTTGTGCGGAAAACCATTCTGATGAGGGTTATGTATCGCTGTAGGAGTGCTCACTGTTCACTAACGTCATGAAGTCAACGACTAAAGTGGAAAATAGCAGCCATATGGTGCTTATCGTGATATTTCCGATCAAAAGTATATGGTAAGCTGCATTTCTAAGAATGTCCTTGGCAATTAACTAACCCCCATAAACCTACTCAACAGGACCAGAAACGACCATAAGAAACGCTGGATCCCCCAAAACTCCTTCTCGGAGGCTGAGTTCCGACAGGAAGACTTTGCCATGATCAAGTATTTCACTAGTCAGAGTCGGACACTTTGGTTTACACAGCACATCGCATGTACGCGTGCCATCCTGAAAGGAAATGACCAAGAGGAGATCGAGCCTGTTGGGGCTTATATTCTATCTGGGACAGAAGTCAAGAGGGTCTCTGAAGGAGAGGCAACGGTTGTATTTAAGATTGTGGAGGAGGTGGATGGAGTCGATGCGTTGGCCAGATACTGGTATGTGGTTTCATCCGCATGAGAGTCAGGAGATCGTGGGCTGCCTTCCCTGATTAGAAACAAATAGGACGGACTTTGACCCTAGGACTCTTAGGTAGATGACTGCTCTGTTGGCGCTGCAATCTTGGTAGCTTTTTTCTCGTTCGGAACATATTGACTTTGGATTAGGTAGAGACAAGTTAACTCTCTTCTGTAAGCATTTAAATCTTAGCGAGACCACTCTGAATCTGTTCAATTGGCTGAAGCAGTAGACAGCCCTAGGACATAAAGATGCCGATGCCGATGCCAATGCCAAGAGTGCACACCTACATGTCCAAGATGGAACTCAATCCGATACGGTCCTCATTGATTACCAACAGTGACTAACAATTACCAATAACTAATAATAGGAATTGCAACCCATGCTTCATCAATAAAAAACAATTCTCCACGGACTGTAACTCCACCAACCTAGACGAGCGTGACCCCGCTGAGTAATCGGGAACCAGTGTGCCTCTTCTACTATAACCAAATGGAGAGGGGATGGATACAGTCAAAAACCCTCCCACGTTGAATGCACGGATCTGCTACCGAAAAAGACCTGCAATGTTACTATCTCTAGACCAACTCTTCTCTCAAATTCTTCCCATCTCCTTCCCGCCCCCCCAACCCGCTCACCCGCACCATGATGCAATTCACCAAGCTAACGCAGTCACGACTATTAACCCTCTGCAAGTTCTCAGCTGCCGCGTCGCTAGCGGGCGTCGGAGGCTGGCAGCTCTGGACGGGTAAATGCTACTTCGAGCCTTTCGGGCCCGAGAATGATGCCTTATTTCAGAGCGAGTACTTTAAGAAGTTCAACCCAGGGAATCATCCATCGCTGAACGATTCGTGTGTGCGGAAAGTGCCGGTGTCTCAGATACCGCCGGATTTGGTGGAAGATGCGCTTCGAGGTGGTTCTAAGTTGACGGAGAGGTTTTGTGCTGGTGTGTGGGGTGGTTATGGTGAGTTAGCTATTATTCTTCTCGATTTCTATAGTGCTGCGATATGCACATATTTGTGATATCAATGTTGCGAGACATCGCTAACGCTTGATATGCAGGATACTCCATCCAGCGAAATATTCTAGCTTTGGTTGGCCAGAATGAGGGAAATGCGAAGTCAATGTTGTGGGATAAGAATCAACTGCTGAGCAATACCTATGAAGAAGGTAGGGGGTTTACTTTTTTACAAGCTCTTATTGGTTCAACATTCATGCTGAAGACCTATACAGGAACAATAGTGACCGATCACTTCAAGGTGGTTGCAAAGAATCCCAGATCGATCGTCATGTGGGGGGCCGAGTCTCCTTTAATGAACCCGGAAGTTCGCCGTGAGATGGAAAATCTATCTGAGCTTTCTACCAACATCGATATTGATAAAGGTGTGGTAGAATTCCGGCTGAAGAATATATTCTACAATGGCGTAGAGCGATTGACAGGGGATCTTTTCCCACCGCCGATCGTGTGGTTGCACTTTCAGTACTGCAAGCTGTTGGTTGAGGCAGGTGTGAGCCATTGCATGGTTTAGTGCTCAGGTGCTTGATGGTTGAGTTTAGGTCAGATATTGATCGTCGAAGCCTTTAGCAGTGGATATGGAGTGGATGTATCAATAGTGTATTATATACGGAACAGGCATGGTATTGTCAAAAGCAGTCGCCCTATGCTGAATTTTGGGTCTATGGTTGTGAGCTCCTATCCCCTTCCCGCCTTCGATGTGGCGCGCACACAAATGGCAGCAAGCTCCGTAGTAAACCCGTTCAAATACTGCAGGTGAGTGAGTTCGCCAAGGGCTAGGTGTCGGACAGGGACGCGATGGATTAACCCAGGAACATCTTGCAATAGCTCGACGTTGTGATATACATCAGGGCCATGCGGGTCAGAGATGGTATCGCAAAAGAGAGTTAACACTGCGGTGATGGCGTAGAAGAGTATGATCCTATAATTCAAGAGAGGTCAGATACTTCCAGCATGATGTATGTTCTCTGATGACGTACCAGAAACATTCCCCCTTTATAATGGGCAGCACTCTCTTGAGATAAGACAGCGTTGACCGACTGGCAGTGATAGACAGATTAATGCTAGAAGTTATGCCGCTCAGCCATGTACCTGCGGGTTCCAAGGCTGAGTTGCGATAGCGGTTTGCTGCTTGGTGGATTGAGGTGACGCAGTGATAGTATGCTAACCTGAGCATCACCGCCTGGGTATTCACATTGGCACTGATGTGTGTGTCGTCAGAAAAGTACAGCGTGGGCCGAAAATCCGAGGGAAGGGACACCCTCCATTGCTCTAATGTTTCATCTAGAGCTCGGATACTCGATAGCAACTGAGATGCACTCTGATAGAGAGAGACTGCTGAATAAAGGTCGTCATATATTCTGGATTTTAGCATAGACAAACGAAGATCCCAAGGATAGAGAGGAATAGTGTTGTCATTGACAGGAGGCATGTCGTGCTGGAGGTTGATGTTTTGCAGCTGCACATAATCATCGGGCAGACTCAAGTCGCAGTGCGTGTCGTTTAAAGATGGTGGCTGGCCTGTCCTGATGCATATATCCTTGTCGAATGAATAGCAGAGCCAGAATAGATCTCGCAGGTGGCATCTGATGTCGCTCTTATCATAGACAGGGGCGCGAGAGGGGGTGGCCTTAGTGGGTAATATATGAGCACCCAGTGCATATAGAAGCCGTGTGGCTATTGACAGAGTAACACCTGCAGAGCGCAGGTCACCCAAGAAGTATTGGAGTTGAACCTGGCGAGTGGTCAGTTGTGGAACCGTAGCCATGGATCAGACCTATACAGACTAGCATTATTAGGGATTGGAGCCCATCAACCGTCATTTCCTCCATTACCGAGGCCATGAAGCTCTGTGCTGCCAACGCACAAGATCGGCAATCCATGCAATCATGGCTAGCGTCATCAAAGCCAAACAGAGACACAAGGGCCAGGAATGAATATACGCAAGATTTTGCGCTAGCAGAGCCTGGAGATGGGATGGGACTGTAGGCGAGATCTAATGTCCTGCCAAATGTGGACTTGCTGACTACAGGAAACACTAGACACTGAAAGGAGGAGCTATACACTAGGATGTGCCGTTCAAGGACGGGTCTTGGAGGAAGGGATGGGAGTGGAGAGGGGTGCGTCGCAGAGTCAGCAAAGAAACGGAGCGGCTGGAGCCATTGGAGTTCGAGAGCGAACAGTTTGTCGAATTCGATGCTTTCCCCTACCTGTGTTTCAATCCATTTCTGGCCTTCCTCAGAGAAGATGTGGTACCCTGTGAAATAAGTGACATTGTTCAAAAAAGTGTTCGCGTGTCTCGGGGGTTTCATTCCCTCTGCTATGGATGGAAAGGCAGATAGTGCCGGTCGATCTAGTAGCATCTATTCAGTCTCTTTCCGATGATACACCCTGGAGGTATTACCCACCAGAATCGACATTAGGTCCGGGTGATGGGGAAGCCACCTGGCTACGGACACGGGGTTTAGCCGAGGATTCTTGATAAGACCCAATGTCAGACGGCAGCTCCATACCTAACGTATGTTGAACCCCGAAGTCTATTGTAGGTACAGGCCAGATTATGGTGCTTGCACCAATCGCATTGTGGGAAACTGGCATCACAACGAATCTAGATAGATCATATAGTTGGTTAGGGGGGACATCGTGGAACAACCAGCCGGCTGCACCTGCACGTACCTTCTTCTTGAAACAGCTGTCGCATGCCCTTCGCTTTGGCTTCTGATTAGCCATCTCTGCATGACCTTCAAGCACTCCTAGAGACAGAAAACTAGTTGAACACCGACCTCGAATTATTTGCGCGGGTCAATGATGTCAGGTGAATTCGGCCAGCCAAGATCGACTCCGCTTAGTAATCGGCGACTAGAGACCTAGTCTTTGATTTTAAGGGTTTTGTTTTGGATCTAGACCACATGAAGTTAGGATTTATTGAGCTTAAATGGTAACATCTTCCTCTAGATAGCATGCAGCATATCGAATACTAATCTTTTGATGTGCTCCACTCCGCTGGCTTGACCGTCGGACACCGGTAGCGGCACAGAAGCCGAAACGAGAGACATGCACACAAACACCACTGATTTAGTTAACCCCATGACCAATCCTGATTCAGCTCGGAAATTCGGCTATGGCTTCACAAGGACAGGACTAGAATATGCAAGTCGACGTGGAATCATGTTGCGGAAGTATTTACCTACCGAACCCTAGTCGGCTTCACTCCGCAAGCAATAAATACTCCCTGTATTATCCACTCGAACACTTCTCTGAGAACAATACATTGTACAAAAAGTCAACTTCAAAATCGCAGCATTGCCTGGAGGATATCATAGCCTACTATGAGCCAGGTTATACTAGTTACTGGCACCAGTCGAGGTAAGCGATATCCTGTTCTCGCGAGTTGCAGCTAACCCGGTGTAGGCATCGGCAAAGGACTTGTGGCACATTATCTCGCCCAGCCCAGGACTACAGTCATTGCAACTGTGCGGGACACCACATCCCCAAAAGCAAAGGAGCTCACTACCCTCCAAAAGGGCGATAAATCCCGCCTAATTGTTGTAAAGCTCATAGCCGACGATCCGGTTAGCGCTACGGCAGCCACATCCAAAATTCGGACGCAGAACCTTGATCACATTGACATTGCAATTGCCAATGCGGGAATTTGCGATCACTGGGGCCCTGTTGTGGAATCTACAGAGCAGGACGTGCTCTCCAACTTTGAAGTCAATACCCTGGGGCCTCTCCGGCTTTTCAAGGCTGTAGCTCCTCTGCTGCAGAACGCTAAGACTCCGAAGTTTATTTATATTTCTACTCTTCTGGCTAGCATTGGTGGGATTGGCAACATGTTTACCCTTACCGGGCCATATGGAATGTCGAAGGCGGCTGGAAATTTTCTGGTCAGAAAGATCCATGCTGAAAACGAGCATTTGACTACCTTGTCTATAGACCCTGGGTAGGTGCAGATCATTCATTCCACTATAAGCTTGAGGGCTAGCAGGCTAACATGGCTATAAGGCTCGTTCAAACAGACTTGGGTGATCGTGCGGCGAAGCACTATGGAATGGAACAAGCTCCGGTGACGCTTGAGGAGTGCGTTAGTGGAATCATTACTCAGGTGATCGCAACAATTGGCAGCCATTCCAATTACAAGACAACTAATGCCATTACAGATTGAGAGAGCGGACCGCTCGTCCACGTCGGGCTCGTTTGTCAATGCAAATGGAGAGTTTGTGGCTTGGTAATAATTCCGAAATGGAATGGAAAGAAATGTAGTCATCTGGCAGCAATACTTTGCAATCCAGCAAACTATAGACCAGTAGGAAGAGACAATTTCGTTAGTTACAGCTGCTTTAGTGCCACAGACGCTATGACTTAGTATTGTAATCTCTATGCTTTTCGCTTTTCCGCTATTGCATTCCATGCCCTGGATGTTTTCAAGTTCCACCCATAGTGGGTATTGGATATGCAACGCAGTCCCTGGCAGGACGGAAATACGGTTCAAGTCACCGATTAGTTCCAGTACGCCCGATGATAATCAAGGATCACGCTTAGTCCTGTTGACATGGGACCGAAATCCTTAGTTGATCTAGGCTCGCCCCTATTTTAAGCTGTAAAAGCTCAATTTCTACCCCTTCTTCTTCACGGCCACTCGTTACTAAATGCGCCCTCCTACGCGCTTACCCTCACATCACCAGAATGCAGGCATACTTTCAATATCGTGCCATTCGGAATTCAGTCCGCAAACAATTAGACGACTTCCCTCAATGGATCCACGATTCCATTGGCCAAGCAGGTTCAGGAAGCTCACTGCAGCGACGTCCATCTCGACCACCCCCGATCCCAGGAATTCGCCTGATCGACAACCCCAATAGCCGGGAAGAGCTCTCTCATATCTTTTTTGTCGACTGGGAAAACAATAAAGACCCGCTGAGTCCACGACAACTTTCGCTCGCCACACGAGTAGCAGTAACATTGATCGTTACTAGCCTGGCATTTGTAGTCAGCGCTTCGTCGTCGATCGAATCGGCAGTTGTGCCACAAAGCACCGCCGACTATGGGGTCAGTGAAGTCGTAGCCGCACTTTTCGTCGGGATATTCCTCCTCGGCTTCGCTACCGGATCATTAATCTCAGGACCTCCATCAGAGATCCTGGGCCGCAACGCTGTCTACCTAGTTTCCACATCCCTCTTCATGATCTTCGTCATGGGCTCCGGGCTATCCACAAACACCGGAGCCAAGCTGGCATTTCGCTTCTTAGCGGGTGTATGTGGCTGTCCGCCCCTGACGTGTGCTGGCGGTTCGGTGGCGGATATCTGGGATTCAAAAGAGAAGACATTGGCCTTTCCGGTCTATGCAATTCTTTCATACGGCGGTGCCATCCTGGCCCCGGTTATTGCATCTTACATGGGTTCGGGGTCAATCTCGTATCGCTGGACTGACTGGATTGTGCTCATTATGGCCGGCCTTGTCTTATCCCTTATTGTTCTTGTACAACCAGAGACATATGGTCCACTACTCCTGCGGTGGAAATCTAAGCACCTACGGCAATTAACAGGCGATCCTCGGTACCTGTCAAAGCTGGATCTTGACCAGACTCCACTTTTGTCTCGGATTAGACGCGCCTGCGTTCGGCAGTTCACTCTGCCAATCCGGGAGCCGATCGTCCTTGTACTCTCGTTGTATCTGACGGTGCTGTATGTTGTACTTTTCGCCTTTTTTGTCGGGTATGCCGATATCTTCACAGACGTACACGGTATGTCCCAGGGACTGACAAACGTCGTTTGGGTCGCTATGTACGTCGGAATCCTGCTGACGGGTTTGATCGTACCATGGATATATCGAAGCCATCGGAAGCGAGGGCTGAAGGGCGATAGAGAGGTATCTGAAATGGGCAATGAAACCAACGTCTCTGAGAAACCAAGCACAATCCAACCAGAAGATAGACTCTGGTACGCCATGATGGGTGCTCCAGCAATGACCTTGAGTCTTTTCTGGATGGGGTGGACGGACTATGTGAGTTGCATATATCATCCCCAATAAGTCCCAATTCTTCTCCACGGTAATATACAACAGATGCTAACTTATTGCAAAATCCAGCCATCTATCTCAGTATGGTCCCCAATCGTCGGCTCAGCATTCTTCGGCTTCGGCAGCATCTGCATCTTTATTTCCAGCTATATGTACATCATCGACACCTACGAGGTCTATGCTGCATCTGCGCTGGGGTTCATGACTTCCTCGCGCTATTGTGTCGCTGGGGGTATGACTGTAGTCGGCGTCCCATTCTATCATAACATGGGGGTGCATTGGACATTGACTATTTTGGGGATTATCAGTGCTATTTTGACTCCTGTGCCCTATATTCTCTGGAAGTTCGGGCCTGTGGTTCGGGGGTGGAGTCGGTATGCTGTTTGATATCGGGCATTACAACTGTTCATTGTGGGGTAGTGGTGGTAGGGTTTACTATGTAAAATAGATTGTTCAAAAGAGAGAGAAGGAACAGGGAATCTAACGAGAAGGACCGGTTATCCTCCAGGATGATCGATAAAGCCAGATTATAATTAATAGATGTTGTTTGCTTATCACAAGCATTTCAGATGTCCAGTAAGACAGGTCTGCATGAATAACAGGCCTGCCGATACGATACCGCATACACTCTTTCACATTCTGATTCGAGAAAAGCAAGAATATTCCCAATTTCTATCACCAAAAAACGATGATCAATCCACACGTCTTTGCAGGGCACGGAGACTGTCCGTTGGTGATCTTTTCCCATTTTCGGCAAATGGCCGTATGGCTGTCGAAACAATGTCACTAACTAACTAGAACCCCGTCCCCGCTGACAAAGCGGAAACCATTGAGGTAACTAGATAACTACAACAAATTGAGGTTAAACTACCGTCTCCAGGCTTGAAAATTCTCCCTTCGTGCGACTTTGAGTTTTGGGAAGACGTGTGTTCGGAATTACGGGCTTAGTGATCTGTACATCGATGACCGGATGATTGCTAATGGCGAGAGCAATAGTTTCGTTGCAATGTGGGGTTCTCGTTTTCGACTTGGGCATATAAAGGCCCCGAGATAAACAAGGAAGACCTCCATGGTCCATAGACAACACATCCCTAAAACATACTTCACATTACAATGTCTCCCCATCCATCGCTCCCAGTAGGTTCCAAGCTCTGGGTAAGCGTTGGCCTATCCTTATCATTTGGAAAAGGACACCCACAGAAGCTAACCGCACGAAGCTTCTCGACCTAGGAACTCTGGATATCGACGCCTCGTATGTCCTCTCTGGTGCCAACGTCCCGAAAAGCAACCAACCGTCCCAAATTCATGACACTCGCCAATGTCTCATGATAGCTGCCCTCCTCTACCACCCAGACGTAGGCCTCATACTCTTTGACACAGGCGCCTGCGAAGATATAATCAACTCCTGGGACAAAGAATTCCTGGAGTGTGCGCCCCGTACATGGGTGAAGGACATCCACTCGCTTCCAGCTGCAGTGAAGGCCACGGGGGCCGGAGACATCACGGATATCAAGGCAGTGGTGATGAGCCACTTACACCTAGACCACGCTGGCGGGCTGGAACATTTCTTCGGGACAGGTGAGTGGTCTACTTCTCGGCCCTGTCTCACTGTAGACTACTAGACGTGGTCGAGACATACACTCGCTCTCATAGCAAAGAAGTGCAAAATGTTAACCTTTTCTATAGATGTAGAGATCTGGTGTCACGAAAAAGAACTCAAAAACGCCTTCTGGGTCTCTGCCACAGGCCACGATGATGGACTATTCCGGCCAGATTACCTACGGGCTGACCTACTGAACTGGAAGACGGTGTCCGAGCAGGTTGTTGAGCTCTGGCCCGGGGTCACGATACATATGTGTCCGGGGCATACTGAGGGATTCCTGGTGGTTGAGCTTAAGTTTCAGGTGACTGGGACTGTGGTGCTGACAGGGGACCTGTTCCATGTGAAAGAGAATTATGAGGATGGACAACCGCAGGGCTTTCTGATGAGGGACTATAATACGTGGCATCGGAGTAGGGATTACGTGAGAAGGCTGGTGCGGCAGACAAATGCGAAGGTTTGTCTTGGTCATGAGAAGAGTTATTTTGACGAGTTTGTCAAGAGTCCGGAGTATTTGGTTTAGTTAGGTAATGTGTGCTTTTAGTTAGAGGAGCGTAATAGATAACTACTGCTCGCTTAGTTGTTGAAGATTTTCCAAGGCAGCTTCAGGGGCGATTGTTCAGTCTTTATTTGCTGGAAGATTACCACTCTTCATCAGTATGGTACAGCTCCTTCAGGGAGATTTGCCGGTCCAACTATAGAATCATGGATTTTTTTTTTTATTTTTTTGGAGAATACTCTCGGCAAGACCAAAGGCCATGATAAAATAATTTTCATCGAGTTTGTCCGAAGGATGATCAAATGGGATCCACGAGAACAAAGCGCACCAAGGGACTTACATCAGGATTGGTGGCTTCATACTGAATTTGAGGAAGAATAACGTCGAAGGTTTTTGAGAATTTCATGTGTACCTGTACATTCCAGCAAGCGCCAACTACTATGTAGGTTATACTCATTTCATCTCATTCATTTTGCTAGCTTATCCCAAATACTCATTATTCGTTGATGATTATTCTGTCGATTGCTTAGCAAGGGCATGTTACTATTATCACGGCTATAATCTAGGGGTGTGGCTTCAATTGTACAGCAGCCTGACCACTCCTGAGTCCCTTGGGTTTGTAAGGGTCAGGTATATGTAACATTGTCTATTCATGCCTCCAGCGGAGTACTCGTGGAACGTGCCTGTTTGTTCACGGAGAGGTAAGGAGCCCTCTTCTTAGTATCCTGGGAACTATTGATTTAAATTTTATAACGGGCACTATTTTATTTGGAAGTACACAGTTGGGCAAGATAGCCCAGGGAAAGTTTGTTCGGTTTTCTGGAATCGGGATATGAGACCCAGGGTAAGGTATGTCTCCAAGCTGTTCATGATATTTTGAACTCTAATGAATATCACTAATATAGTTTCGGGGATGGCTGCGACTCCACCCTGGTCCCGGACATCCCCAGTCTACTCCAAATAGGTCAGATGATCGGTGGACTTACGTCTGCTGATATAGTTATAACCGTAACGGCTGATCACACTGCATTTATATCTCTCTTATCTTTTGGTACTGCAACATATGCGCAGCAATGGACCTAGTTGGAGCCCGCTGCCTCAAAGGCCCCATCATACTGCACAGCACCCTGTTAACGTCAAGTAGAGAAAAATACGCACAGCACACCCAGTTAATAAGATAGTTTCATTGTTCCCTGTCTGACTAACCATCGGCAACCCAGTGCTCAACGCACTGAACAGTATCACAAGTATCCCGTCCCCTATTAATCAGTAACGTGCTCCTCCGTAGCCATCGGTGCTACCAGCGCCTTGGTATCCCCCACGGCCTGACTGCACATATATAATAGGAAAAGCGGGAAGTTCCTCTCTCTCCCCTCCGGAGAAGAGAAATCGTGGAGAGCACTCTTCGATACTATCAAATTCTTGCCATCGAAGTAAGCTATCAGAATCCTCGCCTTCAGATTGTTTGTGCACGTTGTCAAGAGAACCTGGAATGTCTCTATTAAATGGAATGATTCAAGAGGAAGCTGATTATGGGGAAACGTCAACTCACCGGAGCCACCACGTGGTCTTGCAGCGCTACCCTCCCAAGCCGGGTCCTCATGACGCCGACGAGAACAAGGAGCTCGGAACGGAGGATGTTATTATCGCACACTGCCTCATGAGTCACGATCAGGTTTATGTGATGAAGTTCCTGGCCCTGGGGCAGGTGCGGATACCAAGCATCTTCAAATCTGAGAGGTGGTGAGGCCAGAGGATTGCTACCAGGGTCTGTGAACATGGCCATGTTCATATAACGTTCCCTGATTATGGTGTTATTGAAGGACCTGACGGATGGGTACTTGTCAGTATGCATAGCAATCATGACGGATCTGCATAGGTACGCAGTGATAAACCGACCTTCCGAACCAGCCTGACAGATCATCGAGCGTAGCTCCAGCCTCCGTGGCCTTCCTCGCGTGTTGTGTAAATTGGCAGACGAGTACATAGGACAGAAGGTTCCCCGTGTCGTCACCATCTGAATCACCCTCACCGGTCGTTTCACGCGACCTCTCTTTATCGAGGTCTGCAAAGCACGCCTCATCGCTTCGGACGTTGCTGTTGGTATCCGGGTTGTCAAGATCAAGGGGAAACTGCTCGAGCTTTTCCAAGGGCCAAGGCTTGAAATACGTCTGTGTCGTAGCCGAGGAGCCGCCGTCGGTGCGTAGCGTGAGGTCATGGCACCTGATGTTGTAGCGGGCGGCGTATGCGTTAGTGAGGCTGGTCAACGGCAAAAGCTTGACAGACTGGTGCACTTCTCGAAGGTGATTCAGAATCTCCTTCCGCGCTTCTTTGAAGGTCTCATTCTCCCGCCTTCTCTTTCTCGAGCACCTCAGCGTGCCAAACAGGTTCCGAAGTGACATTTCGGGGACAATATTATCGTTGAATGGGCCGGGGAGAAATAGAAAGGTGTCTTGTGGAGGCAAATAGAAACTTAAATAAATGCCTTGACCCTTATCTATGACTTACAAATGAGGTGGAATGTGTGTTATGCAGGAAGAAGCGGAGTGGCTCTCACAACCATGGTTTGGACTGTGCATACAAGCAGACATCTGGAAAAGACAGTCGGGGGGTTTGAGGTTTGGGGTTTGGGGTTTGGGGTTTGGGGTTTGAGTGTAGGGAAATAGAGAAACAATCTCAGATACATGTAAATGATGCATATGCTATGTACAGAGTGAACAAAGTAATTGAATGGCATCGTAACTCATATTGTACAATAAAGAATACCCTCAGGTAGGTGACGTTGTTGAGGAACGTATTTCCAATCCTCGACGACCTCGTGGAGCCAGCGATCTGGGATGAAGGGCGGGCAAGTAGGTCTTGCGGCCCATCCGCAATGTTGGGGATCACCGCCTCAGGCGTGTCGGGTGTGGCGACAATCACTCGGTTGCTACCAACAAGTTAGCTACGACCACTTGGACTGATGCATAAGGTTGAACGGCGCCTGAAATATTGAGTGAAATAGCATTATTCAAAGAAAACGGAGCAGAGAAGGTGAAACTCGCAATCAGGCCGCATTATTAGATGCAGTCATAGCGTACCCTGTGTCGGCATTCGCCCGAATTCGATTGAAGGTACAGGCGAGATTATGATGCTTGCACCAGTTACACTGCGGGAACTCTCCATCGCATTAGATCTGCCAAGCCCAGTAATATGGTGTCAGACTGGATCTGAGTCGTGTCCAACAACACATGGCATACCTTTTTCTTGGAACAGGAGTCGCATGCTCTTCGTCTCGGTTTCGGCCGTCGTTTCTGTGTTAGTGGCGAACGCCGTTTGCTTGGGCGGTTGCCCGGCATCGGTCACGTAACGAGAAGATGCACTATTCGTCGCCGATAACTTCACGCTGGCTCAGCGCTTGAGTGGAATGCAAGTGGGCAAGCATAGACTGCAAGAGATCGTGATGTGTCTCAAGGGCCCACAGAGAGGCGAATCCGCTTTATAATCGGAGTCGTGTCGTTTAAGCTTTTGGCAGCTCCACCGTAACCATAAAATGGGGAAATAATGGCCGCTAGAGTAGTAGGTTACTGGTTTGAACTTTCATCGCAATTACACCTGATTACCAGGCGTCTTCTGATTATTACGGGGATTCCGACAGATACAAATGTGTGCGTATACTCATAGTGGGCATCGTACAGCCATTTCCAGCGTATCTCGGCGTCTAACAGTACCTTACAATGATATGAATGATGGACATGAGCCCAACCGAAAAGGGCCTCGTATTTTATTGTCTATCCTGATCTATAAAAGTGGCTTGTGTATCCCTCCACCCTATTTAGAGCAGCTTGTGCTGGCGAATGAACTCGGACCAGGTCTGAAGTTTCAGTCCAGGAATCTAACACAGTTAGCAAATGTAGTACTCGTGAAGGAGAACTGAGGTGTTGACCTACGTCCTTGGCTTGCACAAACTCCTCCCGTGCGTAGACATTTCCGCACTTTTCAAAAATCAGCAACTGCTCGGTGAAATCCAAAGCAATGTCCTCCGACATGCCGTCCCGGGTCATGAGAAGCTGCTGGAATTCGCTAGAGCTGGATGCGTGATAGTGAGTCGGAACATTGTAGCCTATTGCGTAAATTAGCATGATGAACCACAGGTCTATTAGGGGAACCATACAGGAGCCCAACTCAGCGAGCTTGTCGGCCTCAGACAACGCCTGAGCCCAGAAGGCGATGGTCTTGGTGAAGTAGGTGGAGCCAGCTTCGAGGACCAGGTGCACCAGCTTGCCCGTATCACCGATTGCCACATTGGGCAGAACCGTGTGCGGGCTGTGCGGGAACCTGAGATTGTAGGTGCCATTGGCATCCTATGTCGTGATATACATGAGCATTCAATATAGATTTGATCGAACAGAATAACTCACCTTGACAGGCAGATACCGCTGGGGATCGGTCAAGGTGTTCTCAAAGTAATTGGGGAAAAGAACGGTAGTCGTCTTTGCCCACAGGTCCGGTTTCTGGGTCTGGATATACTCGGTAATCAAACTCTTACCCTTCCAGTGATGCACATTCAGAAATTGGCCGTTGGATAGGGCAACAGGGTCTGGCAAAGCGCTCCAGATGAAGTGCTGCAGCGTCGTGATTCCGGCAGCAGCATCCGCAATCGCCTTACCCTGTTCGATCTCAGCTGCTGCCGACTGCTTCTGCCAGAAGTCAGTCAGAGCGTAGATCACATCCGCACCAGCGAAGGCCGCGGTTAGAGCCTCTCTGCCACCCTCCAAGTCGGCACAGAAGAGTTCAACTCCCTGAGCAGCGAGCTTCTGGGCCTTAGGCTTGGAGGTGTTACGGGTAATGGCCCGGACATGATATAGATGAGGGTGCTTCAGTAATTCCGCAACCACAGATCCGCCCTATAGTTTAAGGTCAGCTACCTGCGTCGCCTAATGGCACGTGGGTATGGGTAGCCTTGCCTGAGAGCCAGTGGCACCGATTACCACGACATTTCGCTTTGTAACCGTCATGGTTTTGCAATTCCGTGAAGCCTTGGAGTGAAGTATGAGGTAGTTTTAGGGAATGAACCAGCCGTAGAATAGGCGACACTGGAGATCTATATAGGGCAGTATATGGGAGTCCGAGGAATCTCAAGATGCAATTGCTACCGCTGACTCAGCGGGAGACGTAAACCCAATGTAGTAAACTAGTGGGCTTACAGCTCGGCGTGGTTCGAAATTAGCTCGGCGTGGTTCAACATCGGAACCGGAAAAATGCTCATCATGGTCCGACAAATGACTAAGCATTCAAACCATGATGACCTCTTCCAGGCATATTTTCAAACCATGCTGAGCTCATGCCAAGAGTATTTTAGACCATGATCACCTTTAGTTATTATTGCTTAATTTTAGTATATATATATACCTAAATTGGTTTATAGTACAGAGTAGATTATCTGCATTTTAATATATTATAAGATTCAGATAAAAATAGCAGTATGTCTAAAGATATTTTAGACTAAAGAATTATTAATTGAATAAATAATATTCTAGTTAATAAGATATATTTATATATTTTCTATTTATATATATATTGGATATACTAAAATATAATTCTAGACTACTCTAGACTCAGCTACTTTAGTTTACACATACTCAGACCAGAATAAAAATTCCAGAAGTATAACTGGCAATAGTATTGCTAACTCAGATTCTAAATTAGATAATAATATACCTAATTTAAATATTTCTTTAAATATACTTTTAATAAGGATTTATAAGATAGATATTATTATTATTTATATCTAGTATATACTATATTTATATAAAATATATACTGATAATAAGCTAGAATATCTTTCTTTATAATAGAATTATTATGGCTTTATATAGTTATAGTAAAATTATAATAAATAAGATTCAGGATCACTTCTTAATACTGGAGTATTCTTATACAGGATCTCCAGAAATTCTGTATTTTATATATTATCAGAATCTCTATCTTTCTTATATAGATCCTATTAATTTACTTTAATAAGCTGCATGTGAGATCTTTACTAGGGAGATATCTAAGATATAATTCTAGTATATAAAGTATATAGATTACTTATACTAAATATATATAGATTTAATTTACAATATATTATACCAGTTAACCTAAAATTATTAAAATATTAATTCTTTTAAAGTTAGATAATAATATTATATAATAGATTTAGTATCAAGTATATAAATATAGCTTAGTCAAGATATATAGTGAGCATATACTATATATAGTTAGTAAAGACAGAATCTATAATTAAATTAATATTTAGAATCTTAATTTATTTTATAAATTATTAGATATAGTATTAAATAATAAGGTTAATAATCTTCTAAAAATAGCTATAGAAAAATAAGTTTCTAATATAATCTAATATAAATATATAATAAGTATATACTTACTAGATACTAGATTTTTTTGTGGATTCTTAAATATATAGAAATAATAAGACTATATTTATAAGAGTTATAATACTTGCTACAGTAATTTACTAGTGATATTTTATTAAAATTATATTAGTATATACCCTATATATATAGTCTTTTTTATAAGATTATACTAATTAAGATAGTTTTTATTTATTAGCTATTTAAAGAACTCTAATCTAGAGCTATAGTATTATATATATATTATAAAATATTTTTAGTAAATTAATTATTTATATCTAAAATCTCTAGTAAAATATAGCTTTAAAGAGTCTAAACAGAAGTATAACTTTATTAATTAGATTATTACAGAAAAATAATTCTACAGTATAGTAAATCTATATCTTTATATATACTATATCTATATTAAATATATATAGATTACTTCTATTCAGGAAATCCAGAATATTTAATTAAGCTAAAATATCTATCTTAATTTAATCTCTATATTTTATTATAATAGAATTAATTTTCTTTTTTTCTTTTAATTATATAATTATCTTATATCTATTTTTTTTCTTTACTACTTAAATTACTATTATATATTACAGATAAAGTAATACAAGCAATACAGTAATAAGATACTCTTGATTTAATTATATATATACTATATATATCTATAGTATATACTGAAAATATATTAATAACTAGAATCTAGATTAGTTTATACTTTCTCTAATATTTATTAATTTATATAATAGATTTAGATCTAGTACTCTATATATACTTTATAAGTACTTAAATATTAAAGATTATATTACTACTTTAATCCAGAAATAAAAGCTCTTATTATTTTCTGAAAAAATATATATTATAGATATTATTTATACCGGGATTATATATTATATATACTAAGTATAATTTAGATATATTAAGAGAGTATTCTTTTAATTAGCTAAAGAAAAATAGTAAATAATAGATCTATAAGATTTATTTCTTTAATTTTAAGTATTAATTAATTATATATTATATATATACTCAGGCTAAGGCTTTTATTTATATAAATTATCTTAAAATAGATCTTTTCTTTAAAATAGTTAATAGAAAGACTAATGTCTTCTCTATCTTATCTTAGAATATATAGATTAAGTATATACTGAATCTA